GTACCAGATTTTCAGCACAACTGAACTGCTATAGTTTCATGGAAATGAATCACAGTGGTCACTGCAAATATAATACCAGTGGGAACTTTGGGGAGGGAGCTGGCTGAGCAGTGATAATCCAAGGTACCTCTTGTTAATGTTAGAGGTCAACTTGTTAATCAGAAGTTGTTAAAACAGTTGTTTGAAATGTTGCCACTGGACAGGATCTCTCTAAGCAAATGAGTAATCCCGACAGTACTAATGATACCAATTCATCACTGAGGTTCCATTTGTATGTTTTGTTGGTTTCAATCTGTTACAGGAAAATGGTGGTGACTGTTTGAATGCCTTTTTTTTTTTTTTTTTAATGAACATTTTAAGTACATAATTTTACTTCATTTGTGCCAGAAAATTGCCCAAACACCTTCATTAGAAATAAGGAAAATCTGTTCAATACTATGTGAACAGCAGGCAGTAGATGCTTTATTGAACAGAAAAGCTTTAACAAACCTTATCCTGTACACATGTTTGTACTATCAGTCTGTTTATGTACTCACAAGTTTAGGGAAAATATGGATGCTGCTACATAATAAACAGTGCTTTGCTACCTTTCCTTTTTATCCAGGTGGTTGATTATATGGTATGGGATATTTTTGCAGGTGGTATAGAAAATCATATATACCAGCTGCTGTACCCACTGAGCAGCACTTTGCTAAATGACACAGCACCAATCACATATAACAGCATCTAATGACTCTAGAGTGGTATCTTTACAAGATGTATCTTTTCTTTGTTGAGAAAGAGTCTTCAAAAAGACTTTTACCTACCTCTGTTTTTCTTGCATGCTGTGTTAGGGAAAAAATATTCAGGACAAATGTGATTTAAAAACCCCACAATAATACAAAGTTAGGATAGCAAAAATGAACTGCCTACTGGATGGCTTGGCATGCTGCCACTAATACTTGGCACTTGCTGCTGGCACTGGAGATGTTAGATGTACTAGCCACTGGGCCCTTCCTATAAGCACTTCACTGTCTAGAATCAATATCGGCATACTACATAAACAACTGGATGAGCCTTGTACAAAAATGATAGCAAATAGCATTTCAATAATTTCACATAAATCTGGAAATATAACAGTACTTGTCATTACTATTAGTATTATATTTGAAGGGCCTGATTATCACTGAGCAGCATTAAATTTAGCATCAGTCCTGCACTTGCTTTGCCTATGAGTATGATTGGAGTGAAGAATGTAGCAGTACAAAAATTCTCTTCAGCTGTTACCTTATGAAAGGCATCCAGAGTATTCGTTGTTCTTTGTGCAATTAACAGTCATATTGATCACTTGCTTATTTCAGTTAATAGTGGATAAGCTGTCTGCTTCCCATTCCTGCTGTAATTAATGAAAGTAGACATTAACTGTTGCTAGAACAACATAACTGCTTCTCTACCTCCTATACTTTTTGTTTGGGAGTGTGGGATATGTTATGGCCAAGTTTTGTTCCTGGAATAGACAGTATATTAAGAACTTTTCATAGCTAAATGTCACAGGTTTATAGCAGAATCACCATCATTACTTGCATTTTTCCTTCATTTTGACAGAGAAATTAATATTTTTAAGAAAAACATTGCCCACACCTGGACTCCCTGAAATTACTTGTGTTTTAGATAATGAAAGGACTGCTTCTGTCTCATAAAAAACAACATGGTTGCCTCTTTCTCATGAAACATTATTATAACACAACTCACTGCTATTGCAGGGTTTGTGTGAAAGACTCTTGAGATCACGTGCTTGTGCCACAATTCTAAGTTCTTGAAGTTGAAGGCTGGGCTTCAAGTCCTTTAAATCCATCTAAACATGGACTCTTTTACTCAGTTGGAAGCTGTCAAGTCACTGAAGAAGATTTAAACTACCACATAGAGTATTGCTTCCTGCTGTGGCTGATGAAGGAGATACATAGTAACTTTACACAGTGACATTATTATTTTCTTTCTTGTAATAATAAAATGTCCTCTTCTGTGCAAAAAGAATGTGACATTCTTATCAGTGCTTTGCCTTTGATAAGTACGATTAAGTAATACTAACTGTGGATAAGTTTTCTAATAGAAGGAAGCAGACCTGCTTCACTTCTGACATTACATGGGGCGGGATGAATATAATGAATGCAAACTGATGTTGGCAAGGGCAGAAACTGATGAGATAAATGGGCTGTGTGATGTCTGCATCTTTATGTCTCCAAAATATATGAAGTGGAGTGAAAGAGACTACTCCCTGTGTTAAATTATTCAGATTAATTAAAAAAAAAATAAAAAGAGAGAAAGGCAAAGGAGCAGCATATATAAATATATCTTCATTTACATTAAACTAAGCAGTAAAAGATGTTTGAACTTTTCCTGATTCTGGTCACACTTTTTTTTTTTTTTTTTAGGTATCCAAGACTTTTTTCTTCTTTTTCTTTTTCTTTGCTGCCACTAGCAGTCCTCTCAGGAGCACATTGACAGCTTTGAGCTGACAGAGAATCATTATAATCAGTATAAAAGATATAAAGTCAAAATGAGAAAGGAATTCATGTTTACAGTTGCAGAGACCACACACTGTGATAGTTTGCATTAGAAGCTCAGCAGGGGGAGTGTGAAAAGCTGTAGCATTATAGTAGATATGGGGGCTTTTTGAGATGAATAGGTCGTGTGTGTTCAAGTACCTGTCTAACATGTAACAATCACAAAATATTATCATATTCAGCAGGGCGATTATTGCTGCTGCATTGAATATGTAGCCTCTTAAAATCCTTCATGCTCTCAAAAAATAAAAAAGATACAGCATCAAGTGATGAATTCCCCGTAACCATATCAGTAGTACATTTCAGCACACATTGCCAGAAAAAGAAGAGACTAAGACGTACACATGAACAGATCAAAACAACATGGAACAGTTATGTCAGAGCAAGGTTTTTCCTTCAGGTAATTAAAAAAACTTTTTAGCCAAAATGCAGAAACAAATGTATGAAACAGAAAGAAAAAACAAAGCTTTATGTCCAAGTTCTGAAATCAAAAATTAATGTTATAATGAGCTGAAGCTTATAGTAGCTCAAAACAGGTTCGAAAATCCAGAAACTGTTGTCTGGGAAGATAGAAACACAGAGTAAAGATTCAAGACTGTGATAAGTACCTTCAGTTTTTAATTTCTTTCTTGTCTGTTTGTTACCTTGAGCTTATGAAATGAACTATAGGCAGTTTGAAATTACAAACAAATCCCTAAGAGACAGAGATCAAGCAGTAGAAGTTTGACTTCAAGGTTCTTGTTATGGTAGCAAAAGCTACATTTTATTCCCATTATTACAACACCATGTTGGAAGAATGTTAAGGTTACACATGAAGGCACTTCCAAGTTGTGAGATACCAGAAATACTTTTCTACTTTGCCCAGTGGAATGTACAAATTACTGTCTTCATTTTACAAATGAGTAAATCTAAAAGACAAAGATTAAGGCCAAAAGATATGCTTATTTTGGCTGCTCAGGTGGAGATACCAAGGACCTGATGGTCATAGTACTTAGAATTTAAAGGAGCAGTTGAAGTCCACTTTAGATACCAAAATGGCTTGGAATTATACATCTTCTATTAGTGGAGGTGAATCACAGAATCAAAAAATCCCATCCTAAATGTTCAAAGAACTTCTTCCATTGACTTCAGAGTCATTAAGTATTTTGGAATACAAAACTGCCAACAAGACAATGAAGAATGGCCAATTAGCAGATTGCATTTTCTATTTTGCCACAGCTAGTCTCAATAACCATCCCACTAAGTATCCGAGTATTTGACATTTTATATGGAAAAAAAATCAAGAAAGGAGTGCAGATAGATAGTTAAATAAATACACTTGCTCCACAGTCATAACTCCCTAAGGTCAGCACGTATGTCACAGTTACTTTAGGAAAAAAAGAAACTGAGGAAATAAACTTCTACACAGGAACCTGATCACCCACAATTCTTAATTCTTTGATTTTATCTAGTATCCGGTTTCTTCTGCTCCGAGGAGATTTATTTGTTACAGAGAGACATAGTTCCTGGTAGAATTGATGCAAGTTAATAAGCTATTTGTTCTTAGAATGAAGGACTAGTCCCCTTTTATGCTGATATTTACTGATGTAAGTGCTTGTTTCTAGTCATCTTCATCAACGATGTCCGGATAAACCTGAATGCTCAACTTCTTGGCTATGTTTTAGCATCATTCACAAACTCATGTGCCAGATGTGAAGTGACAGACATGCTGATAGTTATGAAAACACTAGCAACAGGTCATTCCCAAACGTGGTTTTTCCTTATAGAAGTTTGGGACACTTTCCCAAAATGGTAATCTAGGCCAAAGTCTCTCCTCTACAAGATGAGATGTAAGACCATGTCCCAAGTGAACACAATAAGAAACAGGCTACAAGGATTTCTGGGGCAGGCATTTCTCATTCCTGCTTGTGCAATTTGCTCTGCTATGCATCAAGTAAGACTCACTGAAGCAAAGAATTCAATCTTTCCAAGCAAATGTCCTAAGCACTGATTTCTAGAAAAAATGTGGGGGGAGGGCATTTCCATCCACCCGTCTTTTCTTTAAGAGTGGTCTGAAATGCCAGACTCTCAAAGAAGGGCTTTGATGCCTATTCCCAGAAGAAAGCAGAAAATAAACCAATCTTTTAAGGTAAGTATGGTAGTCAAAGTTAGGAGTCAAACCACCTAAGAGGGAGCTTAAATACTGGCATTATTCAGAATGCTTTCTTCAAATCTAATTGAAGGATGGAAAAAATTATAGTTAGATACTTAACTTAGGAGTTCAGAATTTCAGGAAAATAAAGGTTGTCGAAAAAGTACCCTAAAGAGTATTTGTCAGTTTAGTCAGAGGAAAAAAGCTGTAAACAAAATAGAGTCTATACACTTCATGGACAGAGAACATAGATGCAAGCTACTATTAAATCAAATAAGATAAAAACATATATATTTTATCACTAACCCTTGATTATCTCTGTTTAGACAAAATGTAACTGCAACTGAAAGAACAGCATTTTCTGCTAAGGAGGAGCAAGGACCTGCTGCAGGTAAGCAGTGGTATAGATCAGGCAAAGTGTCCTTACTTGAGAGAAACAATACTTCAGCAATTCCTCTCTCTTCTTCCATTTTCCATTTTGGTAGAAGCTGTGGCAGACTTTGACGTAGATATATGTTATCTCCTTCACATTTTGTCATATGAGAGATTCATTACAGATGTTAGATGTATGGATTTTGTTTTCTTGTTGTTGTACTCTAAAGTGAGTTCTCCCTAGCTCTTAAAGTTTCATTCTTATATGACCATATATGATCTGTGTTTATATTTTTGTGGCCTGAGAGATTGTCTTGGACCTTTTCAAGGCCTTTGAAACCTTCTTGAGTTTTTGCTCTTGGAGATCACACTGTAATACAGTACACAGTTCTAGAAGGAATATAAGATAAGACCCTTCCTGATTAATGTAGAGCCAGGATTTTAGTATTTTCATCTTTTCATAGTGTTCAAAATCAAATCTTCTTGCACCTACGAAAATGAATTTACCATTGTGCTATACCAGACAGAGACATTTTCGCTTCTTTCAGTCAGGTAGATACAGGGAGATGCAGCAAAAAGATGAAGTTACTGAAAGAGGAACAAAGTTAGAGAACTAGCCCACACTGTTAGCTGTTTTGGTTTGGTTGGGTTTTTTTAGTTGTTGAGTTGATGGTTTTTTGTTGTTCGATTTGGTTTGATTTTAGTTTGTATTCTATTTATATTTCATGACAGCTACATGGGAAGGAGAAAAGACCCAGTTACCATTTCCAAGACTACTAGTTTGTTTGCTATGTGTTTAATGTAAATTAGGTACCTAGACTTTGCATAACTCCTCCCATGAGTCTCAGTACTTGCCAAAGATCCTAGCATGAAGGCATAGCAAAATAGGATTTGGTAACACCTCATACTACTGTAATTCTTTAACCATCAGACCATGCATCCACTATATATACTTGAAATTAAATTGAACTCACCTAATTAAGTGGAAGTATTTCATAAACTCTTCTAAAATGAACTTCAGTATAGAATGTATGCCTCATCTATAGTTGCAATATTGCACAAAATTAAAATATTTCTTTTCCTCAATACAGTTCTGCATGAGTTCTCATTGTTATATGCCCAGCACAATATTCTTTGTGTTCAATTTCAGAACTGGCAAGTAACAATAAAAAAGCTTAAATTCTGTAGATAACTAAATAAATTAAACATGTCATAACTCCTAATTACCCACCAACTGAAATCGGTTTGTATAAGCAACATTCTATGTGCTATACTCATCTGAGCTAGTTACCCTAATTGTCTGGGCTTAGAGGATTATAACTGGGGGAAAATAAGGTATTATGTTGTATTACTAAGAGATTTTTCCTAGCGGGCAACAAAGGAAAACTATTAGAGCCACCCATTCACCTATCCCCATTAATATTGACATTTGGAAGAAACATTGCATGTTCATGGAAATGAACCACGTTTGACATCTGAAGGCTGATTTATTTCATATGAAAAACTACACTGTGTTGTAAGGATTTGTGTGCAATGCAAACTTGTTAAATACTTAACAGGGCATAACAAAAAAAAAAGTATTCTTTAAGGAAGAATGCTAGCAGCAACATTGCTCCAGTCTGATTGGTACATTAGCAGTCCTGGTTGTGATAGAAGAACATCAGTGTCAAGGAAGTCTCATTAAAAATCCTTTCCTTTAGTAGATAATGGACTGTGTGGTTGAACTGTGCTGCTGTTGGTTTTCTGTCTGTACTTTCTCATTTTAGTCTCTAAGCAAGGTTTCCTTATTAGCAAAATCTTCTGGCCAGAATATGAAGAACTGGATTAAACATCTGATGTTTACAAAATGCATTTGATTACATTTCTTATTTTCAAAAATCAGGGCTAAATCCAGCCTACTTATAAGTGAAAAAGTAGCTGTGGGGTGAGGTTAGTTACAAAATAGCATGTGGCCTTTGCCAACAACAGGATGAGGATTATTTTCTGAGGAATTAAAAATTAGATGCATCTTATTAAAAAAAAAAACAAAACAAAAACGAAAGAAAGCACTATGTGAAACATATATTCTCTGAAGACAAACTGAGACAGCTGGAGCTCTTCAACATGAAGAAGAGAAGATTCAGGGAGACCTAATGGCAACCTCACAGTATTTGAAGGGGTCCGACAAGAAAGCTGGAGTGGATCTTTTTACAAGAGCATTTAGTGACAGGAGAAGGGTAATGGCTTTAAACTGAAATAGGGTAGATTTAGATTAGATATTTGGAAGAAATTCTCCACTGTGAAGGTGGTGAGGCACTGGAACAGGTTGTCCAGAGAACCTATGGATGCCTCAGCCCTGGAGTATTCAAGGCCTGGCTGGATGGGCCTTTGAGAAATCTGATCTAGTGAAAGTGTCCCTGTCCATGGTAGAGGTGTTGGAACTAGATGATGTCTAAATTCCCTTCCAGCCCAAACCATTCTGTGATTCTTTGATTTAGCTTCATATAAGAAATGACAGTTGATGAAGCCCATTTAAAGCTGGGAGTCTCCAGGGAATGGGAAACCAAGTTCTATCCATCTGTTGAAATATCAGGACACAAACCTCAGAAATAGAGTATTTTCAAGTATTGCTTACTAAGAGTCATAGTTGTATTTTTGTTAAATGTAATCAATTGTCTAAGTAAAAATGCAAGTTAAGGTTTATGGGAAAGGTAACTAAACCAAACAATGTATTTGGGAAGAAGTGAACAAACCAACAAATAAAAATACTGGGCTTCAGTCACACATAAGTCTTATTTTTTCCGGATAGGTTATTGATCTAATGATAGACATTAGCCCTAACTATGAAATTTCCTCCTTTGGAAGGGATTTCCATTTGGTAAAAGACAGACCATTTCTCAGAAGTTGTTCTTTAGATGTCATGTGTGATTAAACTAAGCAACACAATTCCACAGGATATTCTGAAGGCCAGATGTCTAAATGAGCTTAAAAAGGAATGTGACAAGTTCATGGAAGAGAAGTCCACCTGGTACCATTAAAAACATTATGCTTGACTTCATCTGAGAAGTTCCAAAGCCATTCATTCGTGTATGTTGAGAAAGCTAACCAGTAAAGTTTCTTTGCTTCTGTATCCTTTCACGAGCAAACTGGGAGAAAAATCCTAGGTCACACTGACAGGTTGTCCCTTTTTTATATTCCTTTGTAATTATCTTATCACTTAGACACCTACCTACATGTTTAAACATTTGACGTAAGCTAGCTGAAGCCAGTGAGTCAAGTTGATGGTGCTAAATTTACTTTGTGAGGCCTAAAAGAGAACAGGAGTATTAAGTGAATTGTTTACTGATTAATTTTCAAATTCTCTGCCAGCAAGACCAGCCACCATTAGCAATTCCATTGATCACAGTTGCATTCTACCCAGACTAAATTATCAGAGTTGAATTTCAATTTCTTATAAAATATTACATTATACTATAACAAATTAGATACAAAAAATATTGTTCCCTGAAATGCATTTTAATATTAGCTAGGTGTTGAATAAAAGGGAAGAAGAATCAACAGGAGAAGAATTTGCAATTTTTCCTTCTTGCAACAGTACAGTAATTTCTGACCTATGGCTATTTTTCATTTGCTTTCTCTTCTTTCAATCCCTTTCTCTTGCCTCCTGGCTTCACCACGATCCAACTTCAACTGAAGAGATGGAAGATGTCCCTTAGCCTTTTGCATCCTCTAGTTTCTGCTAGTAGGAACTTTGAATCAGTTCCATAGTTACTGTACAAAAGGTGGGCATTTCTACATTATCCTCTTTTTGTCTTCTGACCCAGAAAAAGTTTGTTCATTTAATCATGTGCCTTCACATGAGAAGCCCAAGGTATGGGTCCTCAGAAGGAGGAACCAGCTCTAAAGACATGTTTATGCAGTTATTTCAGTAAGGCCCTAAATCTTCCATTTGAGGTTTACCCACTGAACCATCAACCTAATAAAATGTAACATGGTACAGTTTGGAGCTTCTCTGAAAGGTAAGCATTGCACTGCAGATAAACTGATAGCACTCAGAATCTGAAATTAAATACACCCTTCCTGCTGCAGGGATAAAAAAACCATAATAGGTCTGCAGTTCAAAGACTTCCAGCTGAGTGGTGTTTAGGAAGCTTTTTACTTATTTTGTTTAGGTAAGTTTTTACTTGGTTAGCTACCACTTCCAATTAAGACACTGAAACTGATGGGTTGAAACCCAAAAGGAAAACCTTTTTGGTTATGAGCTTTATTGTATTTTTTTTTTCTTTGTTTGAACTAACCTGAATTGCTCACAGTCTTTCAGAACTAAAAGTAATTTAAGAAGCTGTTCCTTGATGAATTTCAGCTATTAGATTCCATCTCCCAGCTTAGACTCCATAACTGACTATGTGTAGACAGGCTTAGTGTATGTTAACATATCAAACATGGACATAAATTTGATGTGTTAGCAGGTCTGCTCTGATTAAACTTCGGATCAAGAACTTAATTGCATCACTATATAAGCACATCCTTTATCAGATTACTAACCTGCAGAGAAGGGCAAAAAGGCAAATGTCTCTCTGTACATATGATTTTATATTGTTTAGTCTTATTGACTGAACCCTATTCAGCCTCAGAAACTCTTACTTCTTTGGAGTGATTGCATAGAGAACATAATCCCTCAATTTATAAAATCTGAATAAACTTATCTTGCACCTGTCATTTTCTGTTAAATGTCAGAACAATTAAATTGGCTCTGGAAACAAGCAGTCTGGATCTTGTCCTATATATTAGTTATTATAACTCAAATTAGAAGTCTATTTATGAACCAAACCCTAACACTTTTCTCATAGGTGAGATGGGAACAGAATCTTTTGCTAATAAGATTCTCCTTTCCTCTGAGCAGGTGCTGTCTCTGGGTAGCCTGGAAAGATGACTCTAGTGGACAAATGAATGAGACTGTAGCCAGGATAAGACCCTGGGAACCTGCTGAAAAGGAAAGAGCCTATATTAGGAAACAGCCTTCCAGCCATGGTGGTAAGAAAGAAGGAGATTTGCAATCTAACCAGAGGAGTTGCTCTAGTATTGCTAACTGCCTGGAACAGCTCAGTGAAAAGCAAGATGAAAAGGAAAGGTGTGTCTTTCCTACGAAATAGCCTGGATTTTATTCAATTAAAGATTAATTTTAATTCTTCTAGATTGCAAAAAACCATAGATTTAGGACTTTGGTCTCTTATGACATATTAATTTCAAAGGAAATTTACTAGAAGACTGTCTGATTCAGAGATCCACAACAAACACCCTTGATCATGCTAGATATTCACAGGTTTCAGAAAACAGGGCTTTAAGGACACGCATCTCTCTGTACTCCAGTATTTAGTAAAAATAGCTCCTGTCCCCAACAAGATTAAAATATTCAGGCTAATTTAATAATCAGTCCATGAATTACTATCACATGGCTCTAATGATGAGTTTATCTCATTTCATGAGGCATGCCAGTCTAGCTCTTGAATTTGGACTAATGTCTTCAAACTTGCTCAAGTGTATCATTTGGTCTAAGGAAAGAGGAACAGATGTTCTAGATCTCTCAGTTTTATACACACTACATTTTTTTGAAAAGAATATAAAGATTTTATTAAAAGTAAATATTGAAGATAAACATATTAAAAAGTCTAATGTTTCAGCCAAAGATGTTTTTTCTTGGTAGCCTCTAATCATTCTCAGAGAAAAAAATGAATAGGCTAGTTAACGGTGAAAGAACATTTTACCAATCATCAAGTATAATAAATTATTAGACTTTTCTTTGTATAGTGCTTTAATTAAAAACTAGCCTATTCTGCTCAAATGTGATAATGTACTTTATTTGATTGATTAAGAACCCCTGAAATTCTACATGTCACAGAAAATAAACTCTTTTTTTCTAATTAGAAAAATTAATGTTGGTTGGTGTTAAAATATTACATGTTTGTTGGACTGAGATGACATAAGATCATCTTTAAGCCTATTCAGTATAAAAGACAAAAGGCAAATTTAAACTTAAAACATACCAAATTGCCCAATAATTTTATAGAAAAAGTGAAGGAAACGAAATGTAAATATGTTTGTTGCATTGTGCATGATTTGGCCCCTTATAGACCTATGTACTTGCTTAATGTGCAATTTACACAGCACCTCTAATTCTGATGGCTTATTTTAAAATGTAGAAAGTTTAAAAACAATTTGTACATTTACCTTTGAACTCTCTATGGTAGTTGATGGATTGTCATGTGAAGGCAAAAGAAGGTTATCCACATGAAAGCAGAAAGGAAATATCCTTACTTTCTATTTCTGGGGGTTTTTTTCACAACCAGAGTAAACAAAGGTAGTGGGCCAATAACAGAGGAAGATGAGGAAAGTTTATAAAATATGGATGGGATTAGACTCAGTTTTTGAAGTATGTGAAAATATAGTTTACATCTAAGTTGATTTTTCTGTGTTCCTACTATAACCAATAAGACAAACAGAGGTCTTTGAAGAACAGTTCCTCAGTAAGTGGTGGTATGCAGAACACCTTTTCTATTCTGTTTATTTTACATTTATCTAAATTGATAAACCAATGCCTTCCAAGGTGTATGTTTCCTTCCATATATGTAAAGGGAGGTAAAGAGCTCAGTTCAGCTGTCCATATACTTTTTTTGCAATGTCCTGGACTCTACTTCCAGCTTCCACTAACACTTCCAGACACCTCTCCCAAGAGTACAGTAACATATGCTAGACTTGGTAGATATTTTTGGACATTTTAAGTAATACTAAATTCTCATAAAAGTCAAGCTCAAGATGATCAGTTAAATCTTAGTTGATTTGAATAGGAATCTGTTCATCTACATTTAAACATCTACAGCAATATGAGATCTGGATGATCTAAACTCCTATTGAATTCAATCTGAAATAGCAGATGAGGTTCAACTAACCACATACAGGTATCTCATCCTGTTTGAGATGCCCTAAACTCTCAGAGGTAATAACATGAAGCATGACTGACAGCCAACAAGACTTGGAGGAGACTTGAACCAGCCAGGTGGAATAACCTCACAGTATATAAAATTGCCCTAGATGTTAATGTGTCACCAGATTAATTGCCTCTCTAATCACTGCTGTTCATTAGGTACAGAAGAGTTATTTGTTGCATCCCACAGTAATCACCTACCTTTGATCACCTGAATAGCTCTCTAGATTTCAGTCACTGTACTGTCTAGAATCGTATTGGTTGTAAAGGAAGCCTAGACACTCTGCTTCGAGGTAGACTCTGCCTTATTCTGAAAGTTGATGTCACTCAAATGAGCTGGGAAAGCAGAACCCCTTCCCTAAACTGACAGAAATCCCATCTTGTCTGTTTTGATAAGTAAGGGTCAATAGAATTAACCCCTAAAAAATTCAGAAATCAAGATAGGAAGTGTTAAAACATTCACAGGCTTGGAGAGTTTCCGAAGCTGTATCTAGATTTATCTGCTGAGGGCTGTGAGATACTGGGTTATTCTATTAATTATTGGCTTGGACCAAGTCAAATGTGTGAGTGGGGGGAAGGAACAGGTCGAATTTCACAAAGGTGAGGTCATGCCCTGTCCCATACCCCAGCCCCTTGGAGCTTTCTTGGGTAGCCCTAGGGCAGCTGTCAGTCAAAAACAGACCAGGAGCACTGCCTACACCACACCCACTGGAGCCCCTAACGCAGTCCCAGATTGGCTGGCACACCGGGAGCACTGCCTATACCACGTCCCTTGGAGTCCCCACCCTAGCCTTAGAATGGCTGGCACACTGGGAGCACTGCCTCTCACCCTGCCCCAGAACCCCAGAGTGTAGAGTAGGCCAGAAGTCCTGCCTGGAGGGGAGCAGTGGTGGCCATAGGTGACAGAACCAATAAAAAGCAGCATTTGCCATTGTGTGGTTGAACCCTACCATCTTCTGGTAGTTGAATATATGCTGGATATAGAGATCGTATCTATAATTCTATCATTTTCTCTCTTTTTTAACTTCTTCTACTCCTAACCTCCTTTCTTGACATTGTGGATAACCTAGAGCTGGATGGGTTGGATTTTGCTAAGTTGTATGGGTTAGTGTGTGCTAAGTCATTACTTTGAGAAATGCTTTATTTTGGTTGAATGTTGCATTTTGAACTTCTGCCAAGTTCTTTTTTTTCTTAAATTTTGCCAGTACAAGTGTGTTATTTTACCTCCTGAGAAAACGGGTAGCATCTTCTCCCTTGCACCCCCTCAAGGTATAAAAGAACTGAAGACCTGTCATGGGTTTGCACACTAGCATTCCCCTGGGGCTGAAAATGGTTTTCTCCAGGTGGATTTCCAGAGAAAAAGCCAATCAAAAGTTTTAGTAACACCTCTGCCAATTACATATTTAAGAAAACAGAAGAGAAGATTGTTGCGCAGATGAAATTAGTAGCCATGTAGGAAAGGTAGCAGGTCCCAAGTGGGCCAGGGCCCTCTCCTCCCCCGGCCCTGGACCAGGGGCAGGTGTGGCACTGAAGCCCTCCTTCTCTCCTGTAACAGAGTAGAGAAAAAAAAACTTTAGAGAAAGACTGCCTGGACAAGACATACTGCAGAAGAAATTCCAGTCAGAGATAATGGATTTTCAAGGTCAAAGCTGGCAGCCAGAGAGAAGAGAAAAGCTGTGAAGGGAGAGAACTCCTTCTCTCCCCCTCTCACTCTCTCTCCCTTCAGCATGGAAAAGACTGAAAACTAAAATCCCTGCCACCTGTGGAAAACTGTTGGGGAGCAGAGACGACCCTCTGCAGCTCATGAAAGAGCCCATGTCAAAGCAGAGGAATCCTTGAAGAAGATGTGACTCCATGAGAAATCCTAGAATGAAACAGAGTCCTGCTGGAGACCTGTGGCTCATGGAGAGAGCTATGCTGGAGCAAGACGGCTTCAGTAGGCTTGGGATCTCGGTGAGGGATCCGTGCTGGTGCAGATGAATTTGTGACCCTGAGGGACAGTAGAGAATGGAAGAACTGTTGCCCAAGGGATGATCTTGCGTAGGAGAGGTCTATCAAGGACTGTTCTTCTGTGATCCGGTGGTGAAGATCCATGGCAGGCAAGTATCTCCTTGCAGTCCATGGAAGACCCTACAGGGCTTGGGTAACCCCCCAGCCTCTGGTCTTAGCCCAGGAGGGGGTAGGCCCAACCCTGAAGCCAACATAGAAGAGAAAGAAAAAGAGAAACTATTCCAGCTGCGACGGATCGGAGTTGTCATCCTAGAGATAATAGAAGAACTTTCAAGTGTTGCAAAATTATTTAAAAGATCTGGAGCCTTGGAAATGGAGAAAGAGACTGCTTCTCCTCCTGAACTGATACAAAAAGAGGAAGGGGTGTTTTTGTAAATACATAGCATTTTTACCAAATTAGAATTGTCGTAGATATAGTTATTTAGTTTTTATCTTGCTAGTAATAAATCCTAATATTATTCTCCCCAATCAGATCTCTTTTGTCTGCATAAACCCTCTCTCAGCTTATAGCAATTGTGTGGGGGGTGAGAAAAATTGGCACTGAGCAAACCCATGACAAGGCCCTTTTAATAAATTTGTCAGGTAAATTTTTGGAGCCATGTACATTTTTAAAGTAAAACACCTTTGATGAGCTAATAGCTAGGAACATGTGGTCTTCCAAGAGACATCGGCAACCAAATCAGATTCAGGGCATCTTCAAAACTGTAATTCTCATTCATTATATTATTTCTCTGAAAACTAAGATACAGAGAAATGCTGGTTAACTAAATTATATGCATTTTTTGATATGGTAACATATATATCAAACTTGAAATTTTGAATTCTCTATTAAACTTAGTAAGTCCATATGAAAAATAGGGATGTCCCATGGTGAGGTTATATAAAATCACATAGCTTTAAATTTCAGATACACCCATCCAACTTTATTTCAATCAATATGTACTATACATATAAAGTTTTTATAGAAGGA